CCCATTCACTCCCACTGTCCCCAATCCCAATGGACCCAAACCCCTTCCCATTCACTCCCACTGTCCCCAATCCCAATGCACCCAAACCCCTTCCCATTCACTCCCACTGTTCCCAATCCCAATGGACCCGAACCCCTTCCCGTTCACTCCCACTGTGTCCAATCCCAATGGACCCAAACCTCTTCCCATTCACTCCCACTGTCCCCAATCCCAAACCATTCCTGTTCCTACCCTTTCAGTGTATAAGTGCTTCCTAATGTCTCTCCGGAACACTCCGACCCTCATTCTCGGGCGATGTCACTTGGCTCTAGATAGAGTTTACTTTGGTCTAGCCCGTCTTTTCCTGTAAATAACTTGAAGACTTTGATCAGATTACCCCTTAACCTTGTACATTCTGGAGAAAACAGGCCTATTGTGTGTGATCTCTCCTCATAACCCCTGAAGTTCAGGGATCGTTCTTGTAAACCCTCATTTTACACCCTCCAAGACCAATCTATCCTCCCTAAGGTGTGGTACCAGATCTGATCACAGTCTCCGAGTGGGGTCTAACCAGGGTTTTGCATAGCTGTAGCATCACTCCTGCATCCTTATACTCCAATCCTCTAATATTCCATTCACTTTCTCGATTATTTTCTGCAGCTGTTTGTGACATTTTGATGGTCTATGCACCTGAGCCCCTAATCTCTTTGGACATCTGTTCTATTTAACTCTGTCCCATCCAGAACATTCCCCAACCTGTCCTTTTTCCATCCAGACTGGCTAACCTCACACTTGCTATCATCAAAACCCACCTGCCACAGTTCTTCCCATTCATTCTCTGTCTATCAACATCCCTTTTGTAGAGAAATAGAGGTTCACAGCTTGGAGACAGGCCCTTCGGCCCAACTTCTCCATGCTGCCCAGTTTTCCCAATTAATCCAGTCTCATTTGCCCGCATTTGGGTCCATACCCCTCCATATCCATCCCATCCATGTTCCTGTTCAAACGTTTCTAAATGACAAAACTGTACTCACCTCCACCCCTACCTCTGTCGGCCTGTCCCAGACACTCACCATTCCCCTCTGTGAAAATAATTGCCCCCCCCCGGACCCTTTTGTATCCCACCCCCTCTCACTTTAAACCCATGCCCTCTGGTTTTAGACTCCCCCAACCCTGATGAAAAGTCTTGGCTATCTACCTTATCCAAGCCCCTCATGGTTTTCTAGACCTCCATAAGGTCGCCTCTCAGTCTCCTACACTCCAGGGAAAATAAGCCCAGCCCCTCCAACCTCTCCTTATCACTCAAACAATTTGTAATTTTGTCCCATCGTCTACAATGCTGCCTAACCTCGTGTCGCCAGCAAATTTGCATCAATATCTTTCCACGCTGTTATCCCACTGGTCGATACACTAACGTGAATAACCGAGGGCCTGACACAGATCCTGTGGGAACACCGGTGGTCGTATCCTGCCAACTTGCCCCCATTATCCCTACTTTCTGTCATCTAGCACCCATCCGGTGTCTCCATCAGGTCAGGAACGTGGACGTTAGGAGGATGATGGTGGTCAATCCATCCAGACATACCCCAGTTAGGATTCCCTGATGAGAAGCTTGTTAATCCTGCCTGCTGGGGGGGTGCCTCTGTGCCAACCCTCTGCCCACTTGCACCCACCCTCGAAGATACCACAGCACCTCCCCTACCCGTATCTTGACTTGCGTTCTCTTTCGCAGCCACTTGCCCTGCGGTAGTGGGGGGGAATAGTCGGAAATCTCCAAGTCAGTGTCTCCCAGCTCCACATTCTGCTGCTTCATCACCTGAAACGGACCAAGGGAAGGATGGAGACTGAATCATCAGGCGGCAACACAAGAGGCTATTCCAGTTGTTCCCCTCTTCCCAACACCCGAGTTAACCTTCTTGTGCGAATCCCCTCAGTGTCCGAATAGCTATTGATCTCTGTTTTACATCTACATAGCCTCTGGGTCAAGGAAAATCTATCTTTCCAATTTTCTATATTGTTGATTGTGAGTTAAAAAGTGTGACAGAACCATGGATTTTCTTGTTTCAAAAGCAATTTACCTTCTGCTCATTACAAGCATTGTTTACACAGCCATTGGCTCCAGAATTGAGGAAAGCCTGAGTCGCTGGCCAGTTGGGGCCAGGGGACTGTGTGCAATTGGTCAGCAACAAGGAGCTGATTGGTCTGTGGATTCCGGCACGGTTTTCTGCCTGCCAACGACAAATGCGATTGGTTCTCAGGCAGCTGGACATTTTGCGATAGAGGAGAAACATCAGGATCTCCACCAGTTCAGCAGCTGTCTCCCTGTTCTCTGCAGTAAAAGCTGCTTCAAGTCCAAAGTTTAATTATCCTTCAGCGGTTGCTGTAATGAGTGGCAACTTCGCGCCAATACGCCCATGGCCGTTTATTCAGCAAACTAGCCACCCTGCACCTTTGGAAAAACAGTGGAAGCGTCTGGAGAAGGAAGATGACACAGCAGACCAGAAGCATCTCAGTAGATCCTGTGAACAGGGATCACTGAAACTGATTTCCCGATCTTCCCCTCCATCGATAACGACCTTTTTTTTGTATTTCTGATTGTGTCTGACTGCGTGTGTTTAAGAGGGAGTTTATAACAAGGCATTAGCGGTTTAAATAATACAGTTATCTAACAATGCTTTGTAACTGTTTACCTGCACCTACAGTCTATTTGTCACCAACTGAGATTCTTATTCAGGAGACAAGCTTGGGCCATGTTTTCTCTCAACCTGCCTTGAGAAGACAGCAATATCAGACAGTTCTGTGCATTTTTGACGATCTTTAATATCTCCAGAAGCAATGGGGTTTGACTTCCAGTGCCCTGCTCCAGCGTGAGGTATCACAGCCCAAACCTGGGCCATGCTGCCTTCCCAAAACTGCAGCTAATTTCACAGCAATTCATTTGAGACCAGACGTTCATAACCAGTGAGTGGGATGTTTAAGACGCAAATCAGACCTGATCTCACTGAATATTGTGCAAGCTCAAAGGGGCTGAATGGCCTCCTGCTGTTC